ATCTCACAATTACTCTATATTACAAGAATTGCATTTGTTGCAGAATTTAATCCTAACGTTATCCCGACATGATTTTTATCCAGTTGGAATGAAATTTCTGCCTTTGGCTCTGTTCATTCACTATCCACAAATAATGTGGGTTGGCTGGCTTAGACACCTTATCCATTATACCATATGCTTATACTACCTTTGAATTACAAGGCAGGATTGCTTCTTAGGTCAATTTTACCTTACTCAATTTCTATACTTTGTATATTTTCTTTTTGACTTAGACGAAAGATCAAATGGAACTTATTGATCTTCGGGAGGCTGAGCATTGCTATGATATTGGAAAGTAAGTCGTCTAATTGTAAACTAAATCTTCTTTAATCGTTCTCTACCTTCAGTTGCACATGTTCCAATTATCCTTAGATGAATGGAGTCAGATACCAGGAGCGTTGTATAGATTATGGGCGTATGTGCGGGTTAGCTGTCTAATGCTGTATTTCTCTGTTGATCTTGGTAGGGAACGAAGCACATTTTCACTTACAAATTTTAAATTCCAGTAAATTATGAACCAAAAGCGTGGAAAAATCACAAACTTTATTAAACTTCAGCTTTACCGTATTAGAAAATGTTGCGCTACTTCAGCATAGATCTTATTTTATTTCATCTTGCTTACAGGTTAGCACTAATTTTAGTTTGCTTATCTATTTCTCACAATGTGATCTTTATATTTACTAGGGAGCAAAATTGTTTAATGCTGAACCCAGAGGAAAAATCCCTTGGATTCCTTTGCTCACCAAGTATTACAACAGTGAAACTATATTCTTTAATATATATATTATCTCACATTTAATTGGGTCCTATTTTAGAATATTAGTACTGTAAAGAATTTTCTCATTCATAAAATTACTGTTAACAAACTTCATATCAGGCCCTATGCGATATACGTCTATTTAAACATTAAAGGCACCAGTTAAAGGCTTTCCAGCACCCCTAATTGTTTATTTATATTTTTATCGTCCATTTATACAGATACGTTCAGTCTGCTCGACTGTTCGCACGTACCTCTGTCAACTTTGAAGAGGCTGCATTGCGATTTAGCCATTTCTCGCTAAGCCTACATCCGCCACCACCCGTCGTGCAGGGGATTATTGTTACTGAAGATAGTGACCTAGCATTTGAGGATGATGAGCTAACTGATGAGTCTGCAACAAAGTGCTTATCGGAATCTTCACATGCCAGATACAAGCGGGGGCAACAGCATCATCAGGCACAAAAGGAGGCTGCTGGGGACTCAAGCCGAGAGAAGGACCTAAAAAAAGCTGCAGCAAAGCAAGTTGATGAGGGAGAGGAGGAAGATGATAAAGAGAACGAGGAAATCCATACGTCAACGGCTCCGTTAAAGGCTTATTTACGAGCTAAGCTAGACTTGATAATTCAGCTGGGTGCTCAGACATCTAAGAAAAATCAAGATCAGCTGGCACTTCTTGCAGGTAGTAATGTATCTTCACGATACTGTTTGATCTTATTTGTACAGTAGTCAGAAATGCTTGTATTTCAATGAAACAAAAGCAATAAGTTGTTACTGCAAATCTTTTTGGTAGCCTTTTCATCTGTCAGATAATTTTGTTGTAAGTACTTTCATATGTTAAATGCCATTGTGCTGCTTTATGTGGGCAAGTCAATGCGGCCGTAATTCCATTTTAGTTCATTAGCTCATATCTCCTTGAGTCTTCAAATTATGCTGATAGCGACTTCTATTGTTGTACCTTTCCTTTTGTTTGAAAATGCGAGTGGAAGTGATTCACCTCACCAGAAGACTTCCTCGGGATTGCGAGTGTAGACTTGCTTCCACATTTCCTAGGCTTAAATAATATTAGTAAATTTTGATAATTAAACCACCAGTCCCTCTTCACCTTAAACGAAATAGGATAAACACAAGCTCTAATTTTGACAATGTCGTTTTACAGGTAAAGGCTAAGTGAAATACAATGGTATCGTGAGGCCTATTCTCATCATTATAGACAAATTTAACCGTCAACCCTCCATCATCTTGTGCTACCAAGAGTGATTATATCTTATTGACGATTTGTCCGTGAAAGTATTCAGTGTTCCGTCTCGCGACTAATGAATCAATGCTGAGCTTTTATTTTTAGTGTGGCAAACGTCTTTGGGGAGTGAAACCATGCTTTGCGGAAGTATTTAGGAAAAAAATATGCATTACTTTGCTCCGTTCTTACCTTATCGCATTTCTTCTAATGGGTAAATGCAGGTAGACCAGTTCTAATTTCATGTGTTCGCTTCCTTTCCTCCCTCCCTCATAACAAATAAATCAATCATTTACCCTTAGTTTGGTTGGCCGAACTGTTGCTTGATCAAATAGGTGAGCTACAGGAGCGCTGTAAACGTCATCCTTCCAAGTCAGCCCAGTCTGTTTTTGCTAAGAGGCAACGGGAGTTTAGATCTTTGGTTGCCCATCCCAGTGTCCTAGTGAGTCAATACTATATTTTTATTTTTACTATTACTTTGAGCTTCTTATGTTAACCGAGTAAATTTGCTATGGAATAAGCATGGCTAATTCAAGCAAATCACTTCATAGTACTTTTGTGCTTTTATTTTTAATATGTATAATGAATTTTTTATTTTTTCTAATCAGGCTATTTTGCCAGAAGCGAAATGTCTAATATACAAGATGATCGAAAGTCATGGAAATGATGAAGAATTCATTTTTTTCTCCAAACTGGTTAAAGGTAAATAATCAAAATACGAAAGCCAATAAGGCAAAAATGAATTTCAGATCTCCTTATCTTTATTAAGAGTCAGTGAAAATATCGCAAATAGTCCTGATTATTTGGATCCCCAATATTCCCATCTTCATTAAGGATAGCCTATTAATTTCACACATCACTTTCTTCACACTAGACAGGGATTTTC